CTCACTCTCTCACACACACACACACACACACTCACTCTCTCACACACACACACACTCACTCTCACACACACACACACACACTCACGATAACATTCACGATCACGCTACGGTTAACATGTGGCCATCACTGCGAGGAATGATTCAACTTTCATTTATCTCGGATATTTGATCAAAGTTCTTGTGTTAATTTGACATCCGGTTGTAATATATATATATATATACACACTGTAAAAAAAAACTTGCCATTTCTTTTTAATTATTCGTGAAATTTTGCAATTTCTCAGTGAAAATTTTTTTTTTTTAAAAACCTACAAAAAATTTTTTCTGTGTACATCGTATTTTCAAAACTCAAGATACAATGCGCCAAACTCATCTAAGTACTTGTTCTTAGTAGCTGCTCTGTTTTTCTGTCTAGCAACACCCAAGAAACCATTAAGTACTTATAATGATCAATAAGCAACATTAAAGCAACCACCTAGCAACACCAATAGCCACATTGATTTCCAAGTTCAAATCTCTTTCTCAGCCTTTTTAAACTTCAACTAATCAAACTATAATAACCTTCAGACCTTTTCATACTTTCAGTAAACATTTGTCCATCAACATTCCATTTCCATTTAGAAAAGAATCACTTTAAGCTACAAAACGCTAGAAATCAGATCACGCCACTCAAACACTCATCCATCTGTGAGCATCAGCGTGGATCTGAAGCTTCTTTTTATTTTACCTCTTAGATCTTTCCGGAGTCTCAGCAGATCTTTAGTCAAGTCTTCAAACTTCATCTGAGAGGCCTGAAACAGGTCGTGAGGTTCTGGGAGAGGAAACACACACGTCTCCCTGCCCGCGTCCTGAAACACACACACACACACACAGGTTTGTTTTTGTGAAAAGTGGGGACATCCCATAGGCGTAATGGTTTTTCTACTGTACCGACCGTATATTCTATTGCCCTACACCAACCCTACCCCTAAACCTACCCCTCACAGGAAACTTTGTGCTATTTCAGATTTTCAATACACTCCATTCTGTGTGATTTATAAGCGTTTTGAAAAGTGGGGACATGGGGTAATGTCCTGAAAAGTCACCTTCTCCTTGTAATACCTATGTCATACCCTTGTCATTATATAAATTTATGTCCTCATTTGTCACAAAAACGCGCACACACACACACACACACACTGAAGGGTTTCAGAAGATGTTTAAGCATATTGTTCAGTGAGTGCATCATAAATGAATCTCACCTCGTCAAAGTGTCTCAGGTAGTAAGACACAATATACGACATCAGACTCTTACTGTTGTCCTGAAAAGCACAGCAGAAAAACACACTGATTAAAGGATTAGTTCACTTCCAGGATAAAAATTCTGATAATTTAAAACACCCCCATGTCATCCAAGATGTTTGTGTCTAAACTCTGTGTGTGTGTTTGTCTTACGCTGCTCTTGACATCCTTGAGTTTGGGCAGAATGTCCAGCGTGAAGCCATCCGCCTGTCCTCTGGTGCGATTCCCTCCGTTCATGAAGTTCCCAAAGGCCAAAACTAAACCGAGAACCTGCAGCACTCCAGAACCGCTCTGAAGAGTCTGGAGAGAGAAGGCCAGAAACCAGACTCAGGGACAAAACCGGAATGCATGTGTGTGAGACGTCTGTTATCCGTCATTATTGGACAAAACAACCTGAGGTTCAGAGCAAAGAGAGTCATCCGATTCGATTCAGTAAGCAAGCGAGTTGCCTGACTGATTCAATGATCCAATGATTCCTGTGTTTGATTCGCATTGGATTCACCAGTTTGGTTCAAATGAATCAACTGGTTTAAGAATTGCACAGCATGTTGTGCCGTATGTTTATGAACGCAGTCAGACTGCGCAGACGCACCTTGCAGACTCTCTGCAAAATCTGGAGTTTGCGCTGAACAGACGAGATGCATTCAGTGAAGGTTGACTGAAAGAGAATACAGAAGACTCGTCCGGAGAAATCAGGAATCTGGGAGAGCTGATGGAGAAACCTGTGAGCATCAAAAAGACATATTAAAAGCATTTCTCTGGTTAGTGAAAACTACCAGGTGGAAGTCATTAACTGACTGTATTTGTGTAAGTGCATGTGTTCTGATCCTCACTGTTCGGGTTTGTCCAGAGGTTTGCTTCCCTCTTTGTCTTTTGAGGATTTGATGTGTTTCTCGATTTTCTCCAGCTCGTCATGCTGGGCTCTCTGAAACCACAAAACAGCATTTCAACACAATCAAACTATAACTTCACAACGCAAAAACACTGATGCTTCTGGACAATGAGCTGACAATAAAACAGTGAGAAATGCAGATGTCTGTGCCACACGCGTCAGAATACGGATCAGACTTCATTCTGATGGTCAAAATGTTAGTTGTCTGTCAGAGTCACTGTATTTTACACAAATACGCACCCTGGTGTTCTTTGCGTTTAGCCACATTATTATTTGGAAGCAGAATAAAGTGTAATCAAAGTCGTTAGGAAGCCAGAGTCCAATAAAAGCCAGAGCGTCTCATGAGTTTCCTTCTCACTGAGCTAAAGAACAAAAGAAACTGAGTTTGGGGCCGCAAATTATGGAAAATGTGGTGTTTTGAAAGTACAACAAACAACCAGACGTGATGGACAGACAGACGGATGGAGAGACAGACAGATGGACAGGCAGATGCAAATGACCAACAGACAGATGGACGGAAGTAAATGACGGATGGACAGATGGACGGGGGACAGAAAGATGCAAATTATGGACATACAGATGGACAGATACAAATGACGGATGGACAGATGGACGGGGGACAGAAAGCAGCAAATGACGGACAGACAGTTGGACGGATGGACAGATAGACATGCACTACAGCAACAACAGCACCTCATCAAAAGATAATTATGTGAAGTAATGTTAATATCTATTAAATTTTGTTGAATGAATCAATCAATATTTTAAAAAGAATTACTATAATTCTTTATGCAATGTTGAATCAAAATATTTCTTTCTAAAGCTACTTTTTGTAGTCAATGCTTTTCTCATTTATCATAACATTTATAACATTTAACATCAAAAATTAATAGCACATCAACTTTGGCTTTGAAATGACCCCTGAATAGATAATTTATGATTAATTAGATTAAGTTTTCCCGTCTCTAGGTGTGTAAGAGAATCAGAGTTGGCCGAACAGCCGGCCGAGTTTCTCTGCGCACAGAACAAATACCTTCATAAACAAAGCAGCCGACATCAAACGGCACCGAGACGCACAGCCGAGCGCCGTAAGGCCATCAGGAAGGTGATCAAACACAGAAAACAGCTCTCTCGCTCTCAGACACAGAGAAAAAATGAGGCTAAGACAAACACGTTCATTCAGGAGAGTGTGTGTACGGCTCAGGCGTGAATATAAACTCTCGGGCTCCATTAAGAGTCATCAGGAGATCCATCACAGCACATATACACACACACAGCACTTCAAACGCGGTGATTAGACGCCACGGCTGCACTCTGCATCCCATTTACTGCGTTTTTAAGTGTAAATACGGTTAATATGAAGCAGCTTTCAGTGCTCAAACACTCAGCCTTCAAACACAAACTCAAAGGCAGATATCAAAAGACAATATACAGATACGACAGCGAGCGGCAGGACTGACATCTGTACACGGGCCAGACTGGAAACTCGCACTCATAAAAGCAGGGAAAAAACACATTAGCGCGATCATTAGGTGCATTGCTGAAGTCTGACTATGTTTTTCTTTTTTTGCTATTTGAACAGGTCTGGATTCCATAATTACTGTGCGAGCCAGACGAAAACATCTTAATGTTTCTGCCTCCGCCGACAGACAGACTCTCAGATCTCAGAAGAATGAATCAGAAACGAGTTTTAGGACGGTTCTAAGTCCTCTAATGATTTGGCACACGATGCTTTAAAATAAATGATTTTTATGCAAAAGCAGCTCGCATCCTCAAACAAAAGCTGTTTTTTGCTGCTTTAATCAAAGCACATGACCGAACGTTCTGCTCAAACGGGGCGATTTTATACACACACACACACACACACATGCTTTCACGAGACATAGCGTTCATTCCTGCAGTGATGTGCTTTCTGAACTTGTTTTTTCGACATTAATATTTTTCAGGAGTGTGCATGGGAAGATTGTGTTTGATTCTAGAAAACATACGTTTTCCAGACACCCAGGAACATCTTTTCTCTCTCTTAGACAGTGATTTAAACTACAGGTCTGATTACCTGATCAACACAAGTGTGTGTTTTCTGGTATTAAAGGGCACATGAAATGGAAAATAAAAAATGTTCTTGATTGTTACACTTGAGAGGTTACTCTGCAATAATGACATACCGCAAAACCAACTGGAAACCTTTTTTGGTGCAGAAACTTTGCAAAGTTTATACACTGACCATGAGAAACATTGTATACAAATCTGAAAATGCATTTCATGAGCCTTTTAAACTCATGCATGATATTTAAGGCTCACCTGATCACTACAGACACGCATTCAACAATGAAAACATCAGAATGCATTGAGGAGAATCACACCGATCAACACTGTGGCGTGTCATATGTACTACATGATTCTGGATTGTAAATGCTTTTATTTTCCTCAGCATATATGAAGGTTTGTGCATTACATGTTTGGCATGATCTGAGGATTCATTCATGCCCGAGGCCCTAAAAATGTAACAAGCAAGTTTCATTTTTAGGGGTTTGTTCTAAATATGAGCAATAGAGTTGCTTGGAAACAAAACAAGAATCTTCAAAAAGCAAAGCAGCAGAAGAACAGAGAGAGGATCTGCTTACGTTCTCATAGAGCGCCTGTAACGTCTCCAGATCAACCACAGTGTTATCCAGATTCAGGATCGCTGCACACACAAACAGAGACGCACATTAAACAGAAATCAGCAGCATATCCAAAAATAAACACACAAATATCACTAAAGCAGCACATTTGCCCATATCATCACGTGAATCTCTCCTTTCTGAACATCAAGCAACTGGGTTATTCTATGAAACACATTCCTTTTGCATTTGAAAAGGTGATATATAAATATAAAAAAGAAAAAGTAAAATATTTATCAGACCAAGTAGTCTTATATTCCTTTAGATTTCAATGATTAGTCATTAAAATAATTGATTATAATACATATTCAATATTCAGAAATATTCATAATAAATAAAGCCAAATTAATAAATATACGCAAAAACAAAAAGTAACAGGCCTGAGTTTTACAGTTCATTTAGACATTCATAGTCTTCAGCTCTAGATCATGACAAGATTCTTATTAGAAAATGTAAAGAAAATTGATCATTTAAGCACGCCCTTTAAAATAAAATAAAATAAAATTTTATAATTAAAAAAAAATAAAAAATAAAAAATTTTTTAAAAACGTTTATTTTAAAATCAATTTTAAATAAAATATTTTTTATTTATTATTATTTTTTTTTTATATTTCCTTGTTTGTTTTTAAATGCATCAAAAAAGTAAATGTAAAGCTTTAAACAACATTTTACAAACGGCAACAGGGTTGATCATTTAAGCACGCCCTTTAAAATAAAATAAAATAAAACTTTATAATTTTTTCAAAAAATAAAATACATTTTTTCATTTTTTAAAAACGTTTATTTTAAAAATAATTTTAAAAATAAAATATTTTGTATTTATTTATTTATTTAATTTATTTTAAAAATATTTCCTTGTTTGTTTTTAAATGCATAAAAAAAGCAGGCCAAAACTTAATTTTATTAATGAGGAATTGATGGATGGTGAAAAAGGTCTATGGCAAGAGGTTGAAAAACAAAATGTAACTGAAAATTTTCAACTGAGAAAAAAACCCCACTGTGGAAGCAAAAGCATCACGGTCTTCAAAAGCTGCTCTAAAACGCGACGTTTACGTCCGTGTGATTTTAACCGCTCTGAGTGTGTATTAGGAAGTGAAGCGGCCCGTGTGTGATGACGTCACACGTCTGCGTTCGATTTGAGCATCACAACATCATACGACAGTCGAGGCCTGAATTCCTCTCGCTCCCTCACACACACACACACACACACACACCAACACAAACCATGTGCATGAGAGCTCGCAAACGCATAAACACACCGATTAGATGGAAATTAAGTACAAGTTCTGCTGGCAGAATCAAATAAGCTGGCATTCCACGAGCGTTTCTGTCTGAGACGAGAGACACGAAACACACGAGTTTGTCTGACCAACATCCCATCACAACATAACTCTGATATTACAGTCAATATCATTTCAAATTCACGCTGCCATGTCATTTCACAATTGAAGAGTTCATTTGCAAAAACAGATAACTCATGAAAAACATGTTTTCCAATTAATCTCAATCAAACTGCAGTTAGGTTATTTTGATCAGGTTAAAAAATAACAAAAAAATACAGCTAACTAACACAATAAAGTTTATTTATTTTTAAAAATTTCTTCCTTTGTTTATTTTTTTTAAGAGTCTCTTGCTTGGAAGTTTCCCAAATGTATGCAAGATTGTTAGACACATTTTACATATTTAAATTATACTTATTTTCTTTATTTACTTTATTACTTTATTTATTTACTCATTCATTCATTCATTTATTTACTCATTCATTCATTCATTCATTTACGCATTCACTCACTCATTCATTCATTCATTAATTCACTCATTCATTCATTCACATTCATTCATTTACTCATTTACTCATTCATTCACTCACTCATTCATTCACTCACTCATTCATTCATTCACTCATTCATTCATTTACAAAAAAATACAGCTAACTAACACAATAAAAACATGATAACATAATAAAAAACATGATTTTTGAAAATTAAGAGTGATCCGTTTTTGCAAATAAACTCTTGAATTACAGACACTCGTCTGGATCATCTGTGAAACAGAGTTATACAGCAGCAAATGGAACAATGTTTTTACTCTTTCAAATCTGAATGTTATTTTAAGTAGGAGTTTGTCTGCTTTATGATTAGTACCATGCCAGCTACCACGGATATATTAATGGCAAAAAAAAATAAAAAATTTTTTTTAATTAATTTCATTTATTTTAAATTTAATTAAATTTAGTTATTTAATTTAATAAAAATAAATAAATAAAAATAGATTAAAACATAAAAATAAATAAATAGAAGGTTTTGAAAAGTTTTATAAAAGTTCTAAAATATTTTAAACCACCTGTAAATCTGGCCTCATGTCATTAAAAATCTTTTATTTGAAGTGGGTGCACTGCAGCATGAATGAATGATTCCTCAAATCATCACTGAAAGAAGATATTAATAAAAACAAGTCGTCCAGCAGTGATGTGAATGCCTGAGTTTGGGTTCACGTTCAGGGTCCATCTGATATGTGATGGATGCAGACGCAGCCCAGAGCCTATCAGAGCATCAGGAAACCCCCGCTGCCACACAGAGAACACAGAAGAACACAGAAGAACACGTCAATGCCCGGGCGCCGCGCATTCAAACGCCAGTGTGGAAAAGAAAACAGGAAAGCAGCTCGCCAGAACAAAACCTCCAGCTGTACATCCACCTCGACCCGCCGGTGACCGCAGACCATCACGACCGACTGACTCTTGCCACAGAGCAAATACACCGCATGGATCAGACTTACAAACACACATCTGGATCAGAGTCAGTGCTCAAGTGCTTCATTAACATCTTAATTAGCCTTTTTCACAAAAATCTGAAATCACGTCAGCGCAGGGTAAAGTTAGTCCTGTTACAGGTCCTCACTCATTCACTCACTCACTCATTCACTCACTCACTCATTTACTCACTCATTTACTCACTCATTCATTCACTCATTCATTCATTTACTCATTCACTCACTCACTCATTCATTCACTTATTCATTTACTCATTCATTCATTCACTCATTCACTCACTCATTCATTCATTCACTCATTCACTCACTCATTCACTCATTCATTTACTCACTCATTCATTCACTTATTCATTTACTCATTCATTCATTCATTCACTCATTCACTCATTTACTCATTCATTCACTCATTTACTCATTCATTCATTCATTTACTCATTCATTTACTCATTCATTCACTCACTCATTCATTCATTCATTCACTCACTCATTCATTTACTCATTCACTCATTCATTTACTCATTCATTCATTCATTTACTCATTCATTTACTCATTCATTCACTCATTCATTCACTCACTCATTCATTCACTCACTCATTCATTCACTCACTCATTTACTCCATTTATTCATTCAACCACTTGAAGTTTCCAATGGATAAAATATTTTATTAGAAATAATTTATTAAAATTGTACTTATTTGTTAAAATTTTATTTATTTAGTTGATTAGTCTACAACTTGAAATTTCCCAAATGGAAAAAAAGATGTCGTTAGAAATACATCCATTGTAAAAAATGATTTTTCAAAGTTGTAATTAAAACACAAATTATTCGAGAATGAGACAGTCACAAGAAAACGTTTTAGCCTTTCTTCCTTGATATCTGCATTTCCAAATATCTGTGAAATCTACTAGCAGTTTCTAAGTGAAAATTGTTCCAATTAAATCCTACACCATTTTTGTTAGTATAGATGTTTAATATTGATATATAATAGATACATATAAAATACAACTTGACCTCAAGCCTCTTACTGCTTTTCTGCAAAATAAATACAAATTAAGCTAATTAAAGTCACCGTCCACTTCAAGAGGGTGTTTCTCAAACCCTGGAGGCTTCATGATTAAAATTAAGATTAATTGCTTCCAAATAATGTGAAGTCGCGATACTCATATCTGTTGTAATATGAACATTACTTCATGTCAGACGAGTGTGAGTCGATCATCAGATCATTACAGCATCTGTGTGCGTAATTGCAACTATTTGCTCGTTACGTCTTGATCTGAAAAGGAAAGTGTTTTTGGCCAGAAGAACAAAAGCCAATTCATTCAGCCGATCTTTATCCATCGTGAGGACAATGAGCTGAGAGGTGATGGAAAGAATCTCAGGAGTCTCAGAGGAACCAGAGCACAATACAGATCTGGATCCAGCTGATCTGAAACAGGAAGCTGCAGAAACCTCCAGAACCGCTTTGTTTTAATGAGACCGGCAAACAAACCAGCTTTACAGACGCTCGATGGCTTTTCTCTGCTGTTGATGCCAGAAACACGCAGCAGACAGAAGCGTCCTCACGCTCTCTCCATGCTTCTAATCAACCTTCAAACCTTTCCTTCAGCAAAAAATGCCAGCTATGAGCAATCGGCGGAGAAAAAGCGCTCTTTTATTGCATGAACCCTGAATAGGTCACATTACAGCGCAAAATGCAACAATTATCAACTGCAGGCAATTAGACCAAACAAAACATGTTACTCTATCAAACGAAAGCGTTGCCAGGCAACTCCTGACAGATACGGAAACGAGTCGCCAATTATTTCACTCATTATTCCGTCATGTTTAAAACACGGCTGTGTTCAGTCAGTTCTTCTGATGCATTCAAAATCTGTAAGCTATTCCTGCATTCTGGGTCCAACTGGAACTGAAGAATCGTTCGTTTAGAAAAGTCATAACTTCATATTTTTTCAACTAAAATATACAGTTTCTGATCAGCAACTGAATGAATGGGGGGGAAATGACCATTAAGTTTAGAATGTTACCATGTTATTACCGCATTTATCCCTTTTTTTAGTACTTAAAGTTTAGAAACTCTTTGAAATTACCACACAAAAAAAGCTATGCTGCTATATATATATATATATATATGTGTGTGTGTGTGTGAGTGTGTGTGAGCAAGTGAATGAGTCTGAGTGTGAGTGAGAGTGTGTGTGTGTCAGTGTAAGAGAGAGAGAGAGAGAGAGAGAGTGTGTGTGTGTGTGTGTGTG